TGTGTGTGTGTGTGTGTGTGTGCGCACGCTTCTGTTTTTGTGCATTTGTGTACGTGGCGTGGCTCAATAAGGAAAGGGGGAGGGGACACACACACACAGATAGACACACATGCACACACACTAATAGGGCTCTCCATCTGTCTATGTAAATCAATCCTGACCTTTGCTGAACTCTGGCTGTGCAGTTTGACAGTTAATCACTTGATAAGTGTGTTGTGTGTGTGTGTGTGTGTGTGTCTCTCTGTCTGTGCGCATGCATTTGTGTATAAGCTATTATTCTGTGTTTAGAGTATCTGAGTACAGAAAAACAGCAGGTCACCGAGCCATCAGGTGCAGGACGTCTGTGAGTTTCTGTTCTGTTTGTGAAAGCGTCTTCGTGTATGACTACAACATATACAGTAATGTGTCACTGTCAGACTTATTTTTCCCCTCATGTCACATACCTATTAGTAACCACATTGTTATTGTTTAGTTTACTCCCGATGTGCGTTAATCCAAAGAGGGTGTGAGGTTTTGTTGAGTTTCCCCCTTAATGATGAACAAATGACTAAAGTAGCGCTGTGGCTGTGTTGGTAAGATGACTGCGAGCTTATTAGCCAACTAAAATACACATTTGTAACTAATGCTGAGGTCTGTAAAAAATAATAAAAATAGGGGAAACGTTACATACAAACGTACATTTTCGACCTACTGAGGATGAAGCGCTTAAAGAAAAGTAGGTGTAGAGTTGCATTAAGCCATTTTAAGCCATGCAGGGATTATTTTCATGGGACTAACCCTACAAGTAAGTAACTTTAATACACAAAGATGACATTTCTGGGGTCAAATCAACAACCAAAGAGGGACTTTGAATCCCAACTTAAGTTACTTTTATGGGCGGAAAGTCAGAGTTACTTGTCAAGCCCTAAGAAAACAGCCAAACCAACAATATATTCAACATAATAATAAGTATTGCTTAAAGCCCGGGGCAGTGTATTCCTCCATGCTGTAGCTTTTTAAACACATCAGTGAGTCCATCCTGCATAGATCGTGCTGCTGCTCGAAATACTCACTCGAGTGTGTATATGTATTAAAACACAGCTGGAAATAGACCCCAACAGATACACAGTTTACTTAAGGTTTAGTAACCTTTGATAAGAACAGCCATGCCCAGTTCTTTAAGCAAATTACACAAATATATACAGAAATAGCGATCTGTGACTGTCGGTTTGGGATTTTTCATCGTATATGTAGCTGTAACAAAAACACAGGATGTGCATGTTTTTGCATTTACATTCATTTGTTACAGCAGTGTCTCCTCCACTTATTTACCTTCTGCAAAGTAGGAGTTTTTACCTTAAACTATACGGCAGGTGCTCCACACCAAATCTAGGTTACATAGACGTGTGAGCAACACATCGATACCGGCCGCTCTGGTGTGTGACGACGTCGGTCAATAAGCTGGATGGGATCTCTATATTGTTGTGTGGGTCACAGTGTCAGTAGCATACAGACGTCAGTGGGCTGCCAGTGGATTTGATTGATGAATGGAAACAAATACAATCTGTTTTTTTTTTATACTTTGGCACAGATAAACCACATGGAATCAGACTTTTAGCTGTTAAAAAGTCATTTTTAAATTCCAGTTAGGGTCTCAGACAGGAATACTGATGTTGGGTCTCTGAAGGGGATTCAGTTCATAGAGCGCTACTCCGTGAACATCGACTGCACCCGAGCTCATTGACAAGACATCAACAAAATGCTGTTTAGACAGCCAAGGATAAAGCCTGGCATCCCTCATCATAGACTCTGACACATTGACTTTTAATCTCACCAGCAAAGACTTTTAAAATAGTGAATGTAACTGAGCGACGCACCAGTTCGAATGGTGCTACAGTGCAGCCGATTAGTAACACACAGAGATGTACAGTCACACACACACACACACAAACATTCTCAGATTAACCTAATCAAGCTAATCTGTCAGATTAACACACATTATAAAACGGCTACTAATCCCTGCTCGTCCTTCTACAGAGCTAACTGAGCGGTCACTGAGATAAGCACGAGTGCAGGGAGTCTCCTCTGTCATTAAACAGAGTCCCACAGCCCACAAAACACAAACGTTTCTCGGTCACAGTTTAACTGTTTAAGAACAGTCTAAGAGGTGTTGGGCACAGGGACAAGCGTGGCCTGACTGTTAGCAGAGGACTTTTACTGCAGTATTATACACCACGTTTTCAGTTTATTAAATTAGAAGATGACACTATATAAAGTGGAAACAAAGCAAATAAAGCAAGGTGTCTTTTTGCAGTTCAAACCTGCAAATCTGTTTGAATGATTTCAGTACTTGCTGGTTAAAAGCCTTGATGTGCTACTGTTCAGTTTACACACTTACTGGCAAATTCAACTTTCCAAACTCAAGCCATCCATCCGTGCAACATGCTGTATAATAAGCTCATAAACTGTAATATGTTGGATTATTTTCCAGGAAATTAAATTATAAAGTTGCAGTAATTTGAATTTTTTGTCCATGAAATTTTAACAATCATACACGTGTTATACAAATTAGATGTCAATTCCAGTAATGAGAGACATTTAATACAGCTATGTGACATAACAACATTAAATGCTGTTTGTAATGCAACAAGAAGACATGTGCACAATACAACAGTCAGTGTTGTATTATAGAAGGCTGCTGCCCTCTTGCCTGCACAGGTGGTATAGCACACAGTGTCGTGAACCACCAGCGGCAACTACACGAACTCAGAAAACTGTTGTTGATGCTGTTGTTTTGGAATTTACATTGAAGCTGTGCATCCAAAGTGCAAAAAAAAAGACTTTTCAAGATCACAAAACTTAAATAGATGCCATAAAAAAGGCAGCTTAAACATTCACAGGTGACGGCATTGTGGCGCTTTATGTACTTTGGATTTAAGACTGACACAGTAGCTTACAAGCTTACAGACACACAAACACACAAACACACACATGGGTGATCCGATGGGGGTCTCTGGTAGAGGAAGTGGGGTGACACCATCTGGAAAGGTCAGAGGTCAGACAACGGGCTCACTGGTCACTCTGTTGACATCTGGGACAGCAGACTGTCTGTCCAAATCCACCTCCATGTCAGACACACGCCAGGACACACACGCAAACACACACACACACACACACACACACACACACACACACACACGCACACACACGCAGTCTGGTGCCCTCAATCTATATCTGTCTTCATGTTTGTCTGGTTTTCACAGCGTCAAAAGACACACAATGCTCAGAAATGTCTTGCAGTCTGGCTCATGTGGTTTGAGTTGTGTGTGTGTGTCTGTTTCTGTCCTGATTTAAGGTTTGAATGAGGCACCACAAGGTTTCTAATTAATTTAGGTCATTTTTTTTCAATATAAGTTCAAGAAAATCTGAGTCAAAATTGTGACTTGATGATTTGTGACGGTTTGTTCTTCTCTGAAAGCAACAGATGCTTTTTTCATCAACTTAATCCATATTATGTGAATACAAACAAGTAAAAGAAAGGTGTCAAGGTCTTTTATACCAAAACAACATTTTAACTACAACTCAACCCAGAACAGAATTAAAACGCTCAAAACAATTAATTTAGCTTCGTTGGTAATGTGTTTATCTTTCTTCCTCTGTGAACCATCCTCCATTGTCACAAATTTGCTTTTGTAAAACTTTGGCCTTTAGAAAGAACAGCTCATCTCTACAAAAGTGCACAGAATCATTTATTGAATTACTGGGCTTTGCGGTGTTGTACATTTTCTGAACCTGCAGGTGCAGAACAGAAACGACAACCTGCTCTGTCTCCTCTACACTAATATATTCATTACTGTCATTAACCTTTCGGCTGCACAGTCCCCTTATCTAATTATCCCCCTGTTACCGCCGAACACACACACACACACACACACACACACACACACACACACACACACACTCAAACACACTCAAACACACACCATTCAGCTGCTTCTCCCTACGCACACTCCATCCCCACCTCCGCTACCCCACATGTTGTTTGACAAATGAGTGGTCTCGCCTCATCAAGCACATGACAATGTAAACAGATGGGAGGTGGAGACAGGGACCCGTGCCAGCTCTAAACACACCAACACACAAACACACTCCTGCTAACACACACACACACACGCACGCACACACACATGTACGCAGTGCAAAATCCCCAACATATGTTGCAGTTATTCTAGCAGCTATGCTCGGAGACACTTCCAGACGCTCGGGGAGCTCCGGCTAACAGGAGGGTCTTTTAGAGCTGCAACCAAGGAGAAAATATCTGATTTATTGATTTGTCTTCTCCTTTGTGTCTTTAATGGGGGTGCAGATTGCTTGTATTTCCGTGAGAAAAGAGACGAGACAATCAAATCAAATACGACCAGGTCCATGTGTCTGTGTTGTAGTCCGGCGGTAGTAGCTTAATGCTAAATCAATGCTTGTAGGAGCAGCTTTGAGATAACTGTACGAGTGACGGATTAGTTACCAAGTGGACAGATGGCCTACAGTGGAAGAAATCAGTGTTTTGTTGATGACAAAGAAACATGCAGCAACGCCTGTGAAAAGTTTCAGGCTGTTGGTATATCAGTAGCTCAAAATACAGTAACTTATTACCTTATTCAGCTTTATTTTGGTAAAATATGATTTCTTTGCAACCCTTTAATAAACATCTCCAGGTTCATAACTGACCTGTGTCCCAGAATATGGGAAATATAGGATTGTTGATGATGCTATGTACGGTACATTACAAAAAGCAGGTAACATTTCTCTCTTCTAACAAGCTACAGAATTATAGTCTTACATGTACGGATGCATCAGTGACAATATAAGTATAATAGACAGTATGTATGAATCTAACAGGAGCCATTCAACTAAAAGGGCAGTTTTACTTCTGTTACTTTGATTTTTAAGTCGAGTGAGTTTTTTTTCTTTCTTTCCAATAGATTGTGACCAATGTGTTTGTTCCTGAATAAATCTCCTTTGACTACTTCACAGTATATTTTCTTTTATTGAGAAAGAGACTTTAAACACAGACATTGACTTCGCAGTTGCACTTCACAAAACATCAGCAAAGACATTTATACAAACAAATAAACGGGAGCAACAGGTTCTTGGCTACATGAACGCTGAGATACTTTTTAAACATGTTTTAACTTCAAATCTGAAATTAAGGAAACAGTTTGATGCTGAGATTCAGAAAACATGATGAAATGAATTCAAAATCATAACAAAATCAGACAAACGTGTTCCTACAAAGCGGCATCTGAAAACAAGGTAAAAAGGTAGTTTAGTGTTTGAGATCATACAAATGGAGATAACAATGAACCCTTTCAGATGGTTTATTCTCAAAGTCTGTGGTTCATTTGTGGTTCTATTGAATGTGCAACACTGCAACTGGACCGTGCCAATAATTTAAAAAAAGAAAGCTTCAAATCCTGCTAACTTTTTCACCTCCAGACACCTGCTTTATGTTGAGAAGTTAGAAAAAACTGTTGGATACCTATATAATCAATATGAATGGTTTTTTCTTCTTCTTTCTTTTATTAACATGTATTTGTGCAATTTCTATATACACACACAGAAGACTGGAAAAGAATTCCAACCTTTACAAAGTCTGGATTCTAGAGACTGAGAATCCCACCAGCATTTCATTTGCAGCGTTCAATATGAATAATATGGTTTTATTAGTATTATGATTAATATTATTGGCAGTTTGCCAGGCTCACATCTAAGTTAAACAGAAACACATATGTTCACTATATCTGGTAGAAATAAGAGCTTTGCTTCACGCCTCCCTAATTTTCTTTACTCATACCAGATAATTAAAGCAGTTTTCAAAGCACTCGTGCAAACTGAAAACTGTCTGCGATATGTTCAGTTCCAAAAGTATAAATTCTAAAACACAGAATCATCCTCAGTGGAGAAGGAATGTAACACTGCTGTGGTAAAAACACACTCATTTAGAGACAGGATATATATATACATACATTATTAGCTTTAACTTCTCCCATAATTCTCAGTGTCACCTTGTTGGTTATTGATGACGTTCACTTCCAGTAAAGTCTGACATTGTGGTTGGTGCAAACATTAAACTTGTAGTTTCTCTCAAATCCCCAACATGCTGCATAAACCTTTTGAAACCAGCACGTAAACTGGAGATAACTGAAGTAATGAGATAACATCTATTCTCTTACTTTCTCATCACAGCTACATGCTGAACTAACTTTCCGTCCTCCGTCACCTGCAGTTATTTCTCTGCCTCACATGCGAATATCACTTTTAAACAACGTTCATGTACTTCGCGTCACTTTCTTCTCACACTTTCCCAGCTGTCGTTCTGTTTCCCTGCTTTGCTTGCATCTTCACCACTTGACAGCGTCAGTTTAGGAAACTGTGCGTACTGGGAAACACCTGTGAAATATGCGACACAGTATAACAGAACTTTCACAAAGCGAAGCTGACGAAAGCATTCCTCAAAAACGCAGCACAAAACATGATGTTTAAATATCTTTGGCGATAAAGATCTGAACTGTTGTGTGTTTTGGATATTCCGTTCCAATCTCACGTAACACTCCTTTAGTTATTCACAATAATGGTTTGTTCCTGTTGCCGTTTTGTCGGGTTTTTTTTCTTGTCCTTGCTCCACTTGTACGAAGTTCACATGGAGTTACAGGTGGACGTCCGGCGCTGATGAGTTTAATCAGGTGCAGCAGGAGAAGTTGGGTTTCTTCCTCGGAGCGTCTAACTTGGGCATCGACTTAAAGTGACTTTTCTCCTCGAAGGTGGCGTACTTTGTTACCTGCCTGTGAGGTGGAAAACAAAGAAGAGTAGGTGCAACAAGGGGAAAGAAACAAATCATTTCACAGTGTTATTATATGTTTTGTTGTTTCCAGACACTTGCCCGTATTAATCTCCTACTCTAATTATATCCTAATTAACAGGCAGTGTGAGAATTTGTTCCAGAAATTTAAAGATATGATATTTTTTTGTGGTTTCTGTTGAACATAAACCAAATTCTAGCAAGGTGTACAAATCTGGAGACCAGTTTAACCTAATTTTACTTATGAAGGCAGAACATTTCAGGATTAGAAACTTAAGAACTATAGCAGCAGTAAAATAAAAGATAAACCTTGATTTATTACTATTATTACGCAGGGATGGTGTCTTCATGATCCCTCATCATCTTCAGTGTTGGTGCCAGTAATAGATCTTTCTCTACATTTGAAATGATCCATTCCGGTGTCCCACTAAACTACCCCTGTCAGCCTGCTTATATTAAAAAAATTTAATGCCTCTAATAACTATCTATGAAGTACATCTTCGTCCAAAAAATGAAACATCTACTAAATCTGTGACAGAATAGTAGGCAATAGGCTTTTAAGCGTTTTCAGTGTCTAACTCATGAAGGCAATTTGTGTTGATCTAAAAACACACTTTTCTTTTCCCTGTGTGTCTCACCTGGCCAGGTGCAGCACAGCCTCCAGGATGTTGGAACCATCTTTGGCACTAGTTTCACAGAACAGAGTGTTGTATGTCTGTTGGGTAAAGACAAGAAATGATTGATCTTTTATCGTCGACAAGTTAAGGGTTAAAGCTCGGATTAGGTAAAGGAGGGTGTTGAAAACAGAAATACACAATGTTTTCTACCTGGACAGGAAAGAAGAGAAAGTGGAGAGAGGGAGGAGATAAAAGAGACACATTTGTGAGATAAAAAGAGCAAAGTGAGGAGTTTAAAATAGATGAAGTAATAGTAATCTCTACTTTAAAATTGTGGCGTATAAACAGAGTGGCTTTGGATCCAGGATCTGGCTGGATTTGATGAAGATTATTGGGCAATAAGAAACTCGACTATGAGCAAGGTTAGATATGGTTCGTGGTGGTGGAGGTCTGTGTTTTTGTTGGACTATAGTTAAGATAAGTCTCTTTTTTTTTACTCTAAATATTCAGGTTTCTCCTCAGGTTATTGTGCACTAATCTTCCTGCTGTCCTCTTCTACCCTCCTTGTCCCTTCACAAACACATCAACACTTCTAAGAACTGAAGTGAACTGTAATCCTTGTTATGGACTACAGACTGTTCACCTTCCTGAACACATTCCTCCATGCAAACGACGAAAAAGTCTTGTTTTGATTTACGTGGCATCTGCATGTGAGACATTTTCGCATTTGGATATTATGTGGTTTGGTTGTACCAGATTTAAATGATGACATTGAACTGATTTTATTGCGAAAGCGAACAAGCTATCTGGTCGTTCCCTTTATTTTGTTCATGAAAGTATGTTTTCAAAGTGGCAGGTGAAAGTTCGTGTTTATTCCCCTGTCTGGCGCACAACTTCATTTTGACTATTACAGCTCATGCTATGCTACAAGGGTAGGATTCAACTGTACCAAATGTTCACAAAGAGGGGACAAAATGTGTATAGTATACTAAGACGAGTGTCTTTTATTGGTCATTACCATGGCCAGTTTTTCCCCATAGCTGGTAGGGACGCAGTTCCCTGCTTCTGGTCTGAGATCACACTTATTACCCACGAGCATGATGGGAATATCTTCACGGGATACATCCTGCTGAGCAACAAGAAAACAAACTCTGTATTGCAAACTGCTTTGTCAGCCATCAGAATGGCAATTTCAGAGTTGAAGTGCTGAAAAAAAATCAAAATAAGAAACAAAAACATTGAAGATTTAAACTCTTGGAACGACGTGTGTACACAGCGCACTAAACCAGACTACACATCACGCATGCACACACAGAAAGTAAAAAAAAACAAAACAGCAGAACACAATCTGTACATGCTGTGCATCCAAACACTTACATATCTGCTGCATGGAGAAAGAGAGAAACAAGCAGGATCACTTAGTCGGACTTTCAATTGAACTTTTTTTTAACTCACAATGATGCTGCCGACACAAATCACCATTATGCTAAAGTACATCAGTAGATAGATTTCTTTGACTTTCTCCACCATTACGTGTCTGGAAATGTCTTTCTATTCAAAGTGCATCAGGCACTAACTTCTTGGCAGACGTGAGTAGTGCAGTACCTCGATCATGTCCACCCAGTCTCTAACGTTAAGGAAGCTCTTCTCACAGGTGACGTCGTACAGCAGCAGCACGCCGTCTGCCCGCCGGAAATAAGACTTGGCGATACTGCGAAACCTGAAAAAACAAGAGAAAATAAATCACACAAACATATAAAGCAAGGTGTCAAAATAAACATTCATGTGCAGTGTTTGTTGTAACAGAACAAATGTGTGTATTCATTTTCAGCTTTAGGAGCCCCACACTTGCAGTAATAACCCCATCAACAACAGAGCACACCTCTCCTGTCCTGCAGTGTCCCATAGTTGTAGTAAGACGGGCTCTCCATCCACGATTAGTGTCTTCATCTGGAAATCCACTCCTAAAAAATCACAGAGAGACAGTCAAACGTGTCAACCACACAGGCGGTGGGAATAGAAAAGTTCCATTTTGCATGACAGTATAAAGTCAGTGACCTCTGATCAGACTCACTGAACACTTAGTAGCTGTGAATTCACGCCACTCTGTGCAGAAACTAATCATTAATTTGTCAGCTGACACCTTTTTATTTGTTTTCAAGATGTTATGTGCAATAGTTTTTTTGCTAGAAGAGACGATAAAAACCAGACTATGCCAACTAAACATTAACAGAGAGTTTAGTTTATCGGACTCACCCAGAGTCGCGCTGGAGTTCAGTTTGAATTCGTTCTTGCAGAGGCGGAGCAGGAAGCTGGACTTTCCCACAGCGGCATCTCCAGCTAACACGATCCTGTAGGCCTTCTCTGACGTCATGTAGCCCAGATCAGCGCTGTCGTTGTCCTCCTTCTGCAGAGGAAGCAGAGGAAAGACAGCAGTTATATTTTGCAGCACTGATTAGTTGACTGTACTTCAGTTCTATGCATTTGAATGTATTTTTGTATTCAGCATTGACCATTTTTCAAGTTTCTGCTTTTCCGTCTTGTATCTGTAATGATCGGCACAGTAATGTTTTATACATAAAAACACCTTAAAAGCCTCACCAGCAAGGGCTAGAGATTGCATCTTATATAATACAATTAGAGTTTTAATAAGTAAAGAACACTGATAGTCACCATGTAAAGTTTATGCTGAGGAAAGTGTTAGAAGAAAAAAGGCAACACAGTTATTAAAATCTATTCCTTGAGTTGTAATAGTGCCCAATAGAGTCGGCAAAAATAATATATTTCTGGCTTACTGTTGAACACGATTCACCGTTTTTGCTTAAATTTTGTTGTTGGTTTTAAAAATAATTGTTGGAAATTCAGTATCTGTGCATAACAATCTGACAGAACTTTGACCAGTAGCTGTTACATTATTGGGCAGCACCACAAAAAAAAATCTTTTTCAGCTTATTCTTGAACTTTCAAAGTCCCACACTTGTATCTTTCATTGTGCATCCTTCCCTCTTTCATAACTTCTCTCTCTTACCCGAACACTGATGGCACTGAGGGCTTTCCGTGTTGTCGGAGCAGCAGGTGGCGGGACGCTGATCGACTCAGACAGCTTCCAGTCCAGAACTGAGCTGCTCTCTGACCCGAATGCCGACTCTCCATCCTGAGTCTCTGCTGGCTGTGATTTGGACACACAGGATCAGACGCACAGTTAACTCATGTCAGCATTCTTTACAACAATGTGACTTGTACGGTCACTGCGAATATCAGCAAGTTGTTTAAAGCTACAAACGGACTGTTCGTGGTCTCCAGATGATAAATCCTACGGACTTTCATGATCCTGAATTGTCTTTAACTAATATATAGCCATGAGTTGTGGTACAGATATTCAAGGTCACAAGTAGACGAGTGATGATGTCATCTGAATCACATCAATCATCATCAATACTTGCAAAACCAACAACATTCCCACCAGATTCACACATTTTAGAGCTACTTAGCAAATGTTAATGCTAAACAGCTATACATCAGATTTATGAGTGTGTTGCCAGCCTCACATGAACTGTGCAGTCCTATGAAATATGTACATATACAAAGCTGCTTTTGTTATCGCCTCACATCAGTGTCGGAATTTTCCTCCATCATGCTGTCATTGTTGTAATCCTTCCGTGTCGTCGTCTTTTTCTTCTTCTTCTTCTTCTCCTTCTCCTCCTCCCTGTCTTCTTCTTCTTCTTCTTCTTCTTGACCTTTGACGTCGTGCTCCGAGTCGTAGCCTCCGTGTGAGCCTCTGAGCGTCGACAGGCCGCTGTCCACGTAGATCTCGGGCAGGCTGTCCTCCTCGCACTCGCTGCTGTGTTGGCGCCTCAGGCCGGGGTCACACATGGCCAAGGCCAGAGTGTCGCAGCTGGGCCGCCGGGTGTACAGAGGATACTCATCTGTACGCTGGCAGAACCTGAGGAGGAGATCATGACATAAAAACACGAACGCTGTATCATCTCATTGTGCTTCAGGGGGGGAGATGGGTTTAAGGAAATACCCAAAGCCACTAGTAGTTACTATAGAAACTGTTCAGAGGGAGGTCTGGGGATTATCCAGAAACCCTGTGTCTCAACAGAACAAGTAGTTTTACTTTATTGATGAAAACTCCCTACATGCCAAGAGGAAACTAGTGATAAGTGAGATTTTTTTGTTCAAGTAGTGGTTATTTTAGTGACTCAGGCCTTTCATGTATTAATACTTGGTAGTGCTTATCATGACAACCTCCGTTTTTCTAAAGCGCAATTTCTTTTTCCTAAAATTTTTTTTCTTTTAACTCTTAGAACCTCGTGCAGTGGTGATGAGAGGTGAAAAGTCTTCAAGGAACTCAAGCAAGTCCAGTTGCTACGATTAATCTACGAGAATAACCATGACCTGGATGATTGAGGATCTTTACAGACATGGAATAAAGTCATTTTGATGAAATATTACGAGTTTAGATGTGTTCAGTTTGCTGACAGGACATCACATCAGAGATGAGTAGTTCACACAACATCGGAAAGGTGAAAATCCAACGATTTGTTCTGTTTTTGCAGTGTCTGACTCTAATAAATAGTGTAATTTTACCAGTTTTTTTAAAACGATAACATGCCTTTCAAACCTGTGTGTGGGTTTTGAGATGAAAAGTGTCTCTATAGCCTGAAAAGTACAGTCCTGTCCCTAAAGTCTGTGCTGTCTTTGCATGATGTGTATAATCACACATACACACATGGTTAAAATTGTACATGTACTCCTGTATAGAAAGGACACAACATCATTCAATGCTATAATCTATCATAAGTGAATTCTACTTCCTACTTTATCTTCATATTATGAGGACAAAACTTTTATCTTAAACACCACAGACTGAATCACCTTCTCAGTTGTACAGCACCTTAAATAAACAGCATGTTCACCACTTTTTTTGCTACTGTGTAAATGCACTCTAAGCAAGAACATCCTCATTCGATGTGTTTGTCACTGTGTACAGTATGCAGATGGCTTCAACCTGAAAAATCCGGTCTGCACCAAGACCACTGAAGCTGCTAACTCTCGTGAGTTTTGCAAACCACTTCTTTCTAAAATGAGGAATTATGGTAAAGTTATTCAGGAATAAGAGACTAAAGTTATCTATAGTGTTAGACAGGCTCTTGTGCACTGGTGCAGAGGATATAAAGATAATATAAATCTACATAAATTTAGTCTTCAGACACTTCAACCTGCATTGTTTGTAGGTCTTACCTGTCCATTAGGACGTATGGTGATGTGTAGCAGATGCTTTTACTTCTGTTTCTATTCTTAATCTCTCCTGGTGACCCACCGTTACCAGACTGTAACACAGAAAAGGTGAAAATTAGTTTTGATATTGATCGTTTCCTGGCTGTCTGTGACGTACTGCAGTTATTTGCTGAATGTCGCAACACAACATACAGTTCTGTTTTAAAAAATCCCTTAAAACAAATACTTTTAACCATAAAAAACTCCCTTTGAAGGCTGAATGTTGCTCCTTATCATCTGCTGTTACAAACATGTAGAATAATAATACCAATAGAGTCCAGCCAAATGGATGAAATAGCTTCAGCCACTTGTCATTTTTTTTTAGTGCTTTTAGTAGCTGTGCAGCTTCACCTTTGTGATCCTCTCCAGAGCAGTTCTCAGGCCATCGTTGCTGTCATGGAGCTTCCTGTTAGCTGTCCTATCCAAACACACACACACAGGGAAAATCAAATGTCACTTAAATATCCATCCATCCATTATCGATACGCCGCTTAATCCTCACTCAGGTCGCGGCGAGGCTGGAGCCTAGTTACTTAAATATGTTTTTTTTTTTGTGTTGTTGTTATTGCAGGTGCTCTTTTAACCACATTGAGATCAGTGACAGTAAATGTGTGTTACTCTCTGACTCACTGCAGCATCTCGATCTGACTCTCCAGGATGTCTCGCTCATCAGAGAAGTGTTTCATGAGCTCCTCGTCTCTGCAACAAGACACAGTCAGAAACACGGTTATTGAATTTGAACATAAATAACCACCTACATGGATCTGTTAAGATAAACCAAATTGTTGCAATGACATTATTTCTAGTGACACGTACAGAAAAGACACAAATGTTTCTTTTAACTTGCCTTCCTGCACAAAGCCGAGCTACAAAACCAGAGTTTCTCAGTGTACTGATAACTTTCATATTACAGAATGATTAAATTTGGCTTCTATATGCTATCACTGATGTAAGGTAAAGAAACAAACGAACTGGTGGAACTGAAAATATAAAGAAATAGAGTCAATGTGACAGTTTTTGCTTTTTTGTAGAATAAAGAAAAAGATTAAACTTTTTTTGCTTTTTAAGATTTACTGAATTCTAACTTTGTTATACTACATAAACGGCATCTTTGAGTTCTTCCAGTGGTAAAAATGTAACAAGGGTAAAGATAGCAAGAATCCGCTCGGGGTTTAGGGTGTTGTATGCTTTATAGATTGTAAATCTAAAAATAAATATTGAAACTTTTGCATATTTCAAGTGCTAGCACATCATACAAACACATAAACTGTCATTCTAATTGTGAAAACTGACAATAGTGGAGGTACAGTGGTTGTCTTTTTCATATCCAGGACAGCAGAGGCTTCACTTGGTTACTGACAGACGTTACATCTGATCTATAAATATCACAAGACACCTCCAAGACGGAGACGCAACAGTGTCAACATGATGGGCTGGTCCGAGGAGTGTCGTCCTGCCCGTGGCTCTGTTGCTGCGGTTGCTAAGCAACGCTTCTGAAGAAGCAATTGTGTGTGTGAAGTCACTCCAGGATATCCTGTTTCAGCTGTGACAAAACATTAAAAGCCCTGAGAGCGAGTTCACTGGAGGTGGGGCCTCCATCTCTCTGTCTGTCTCCGTCCCTCTGAAACGAAGCTTCTCAGGGGAGGGGTTTTGTTTGAGAAGGAGCTGGAGGCCAGATTGATTCGTCTGAAACTCACTGAAGTGTATGAATTGGAGCATTTGAGCCTTTATATGTGTGATGTAGAACAAGGTGCAGGTATTTATTCTTCTCAAGTTAAGCTCTGAATGAGGAAAGAAAAAGATGGGGGGGAGAAAAAAAACCTGCTCTGCAACTTCATGTCAACTCTGGGTTTAGACTTTCAGAGTTTACAGCGAAAGTAAAGAGTGTGTATGTGGATATAGAGGAGGGAGACAGTGTGTAGTGTAATGAAACATCACATTTTCCTTCTTACAATGAAAACCTGAACATACATTCCCTGCTGTATGCCCACTAAAGACATCAGAGAGAAACTCAGATCAGAAGTACGATGCTGAGGCCTCCTACGGCGCACATTATCCAACATGTTAAGCATACATGCATACACACCTTACATACAAACAAAAAAAAAAATCACCTCACCTTTCAGAATTGATGCTTTGGTCTGTTAACTCCGTCTTCAGCGAGTCCATCTCACTCTGCAAACAGGCCACTTTGGTCTGAGACCTCAGCAGCTCCTGTTTCATCCGCTGGTTCTCCTGCAGAGACGAGAAGCAAAATGGATGAATATGAGTGAGGAGGGTTCAAAATTTACTGAAATTCACTGTTTGAAAAATGAGCTGAAGCATTCTCGGTCTCACCAGCGTTAGCTCATTGATCTTCTTCTTCAAAGCTGAACTCTCGTCTTTCACAGTGATGTCCTTGTACTTCTCTTCAATCTGATGGACAAATTCACGTATTTAGGATTGAGATTATTTGACTTTCATGTAGGTTACAGTCAGTCTCTGTGTAGTTTTAGAAGCTGCAGTTTGGGCGGCTATGGCTCAGGTGGTAGAGTGGGTTGTCCTCCAGTGACAAGGTTAGCGGTTTCATTCCCTCACCCCTCCACAGTCGAGGCATCCTTGGGCAAGACACTGAACCTTGCATGGCAGCTCTGTCACCATTGGTGTGTGAATGGGTGAATGAAAAACACATTGTAAAGCGCTTTGGGTAAAAGCGCTATTTAAGTGCAGACCATTTACCATTTAGTTTTAATCAGCAGAATCCTGTTTTTCCCGAAAATGTAAACACAGGTTTTAAGTAGCTGTTTTTCTTTAAACTTAAATAGGTCAAATGCAAGCATCTCTGTCTGACGGTAATTAGGACAGTAGAACAATGTATGGTTGTATTTTCTTAAGTGCATAGTTCCTCTAACTGTTGTGTGAATAATATAATTACTGTGCAAATACTGCAAATGATCTACATGCTGGAGGGGACTTTCTGGTACTAAACTGGTTCAAATTCGACTTAAAGGACAAGGACTACTTTGTGTCTACAGGGAATTACAGATCTGAGGAGACAAAAACAACCTGTGGAGTTCCCCAAGGTTCCATTCTGGGGCCTCTTCTGTTGACTATCTACATGCTGCCACGAGCTCAGATTATGAAAACAACAAATTATGTTGCTGTTACTGTGCAGACCATACCCAAATTTACATAACCATCTCACCAGGAAACTATGATATCATTGAACAAATCAGGGGTGCTGGAATTTTCTTCTTTTAAAAAAAGGAAGAACGATTTAAGTCAACAATTAGCTTATACAAATAATGTTAAAAACTACACAGGTCTCTTTACTGCAACTTTTCTGTCTGCCTCTGCCTTTTCAATGCACCAAATCTGAACTTAATTTTTAATCTCCATATTAATTGTGTTGAAATGTCTTTTTTATATATGTGTTATGGTGAAAACGGAGCTCAGTCAAAGAAGTTAAAAACGTACCATCTGCATCCTCTGGACCTTACACTGCAGCTCACACACTTCAGTCTCATAACCTCTTCTTAAGTCATTCAGCGCAGCCTCTGTTCGTTTCTTCTCCTACAAAAACACACACAAACACAAAAACAAACAAAAATAAATAGATTACATCCAATAAGATGACATGTATATGCGTGTAAGTGTGTTTGTTTTTTCCGTGACACATTAATCGGTGCTATTTTAGGGCAGATTGTGAACCATCGAAGGAGGAGCTGGAGAATCGACAAGCGCTGAAGTAACTGTATTTCCATAGTTTCCAAAAATACCAGGACTGTGTGCACATATATTACAGTGAGAGAGAGAACAGGTGAGTGTCGCTCTAATTTCGTTTGCTTTTCCTAGACAAAACAAACAGCAGCTGAGTCAGTGGAGAACACTTACATAAGTTTGTTACAAGCGCAGAGATAAGAAAGAGTTTGTGTTCCCGCCAAGTTTATAAGAAACACCAGGACCAAAGATAGCATCAAATGAAGTCAAATAAATCCTGATCCAGTGAGTGATCTGTACTGCTGTGAAGTCTTTTACAGTTTTTACACTTCATGTCATGTCAGAGCTAAATATTGTTATCAAAGCTTATCATTTCCCACAACACGCTGTTCAGTGTGTTTCCAGGAAACATCTCCAGCTTTCATGAAACTCACAATCCAGGAGGTTATAATTCATAGAAAACTAGTGTTCGAAGAAATATTTAGATCCTTTACTTTAGTAAAAGTGCAACGACAGCAATGTTAAAGTACTCCATTACCAGTAACAGTCCTGCATTAACACGCCTACTTAAAGTTAGTATTGCAAATGAAAGTAAACGTCCTGGTTTGGTCCCTCTGACTGATGTATTATTATATATGACATGATGATATTATTAATAGTGGAGCATCAGTGTGTCAGCAGCATGTGGTAGCTGCTGCAGGTGGAACTAGTTTGAGCTACTTTATTATATAAAGTTTTACATACAGGGGCAGCAGAAAAATCTGAAGGTTCTCCACATGATTAATGGGAAGAAGAAGAAAGAAGAAATTCTGATCCACAAATGTGTTTTCAATCTTTGAACTGTCTTTGTGGCATTACATGTATGAGGAGCCTGACATTGAAGGACTCCTTAATCACTGAATCAAAAAAGAGATTTAACTCATCGTTTACTGCAAACACTTTAAACAATAGTTCAGGTTTGCGCCAAGCTGATGGCACGTTATCTAGAACCTCCTGTCAGCCGACTTAAGTCCCCAAGTGTGCAGCCAGATTCTTTACAGATTATCATTTCCAACCACACACCACCCACAAATACGTACAGTCTTATCATTTTAAACTGGAGGATCAAACATGCTCCGGCACCTCTATCTATCTACTGTTTTACATCCACAGAGTTGTGAAATCCAGCTGATCGGCAGCCATATCTGACTTTGGATCAGCAGTCTGTTTGTTTGACATGAGGGAAGAGCTGAACAAACGCTTCCAGCTTATCACGTTGTCTTCACAACCTCCAGGGAGGGAAACACTTCACAGCAACTAGCTCACGCCTTATTTGAATGCAGCTCTTATGTGTTTTTCTCACCTGCTCTCGTGTTTTTCTCTCTGCGGCGTGAATACGTTGGTCCATCTCCTCCTCCATCTCACTGAGCTGCATTGTTGCTTGGTCCTGAGCTCTGTGAAGCAGCAACAGGATCATCTCACTGTACTCCAGAAACATCCATCATCCATTATCTGCTGTCTATTGTTTTATTTTGTGCATTATCACAGGAAGCTGAAGAAAACATCTAATGTTAACCTGACCTGCACGACAGAAACTGGAGCACAAAATCACATAATGAAAGGAGACACACAAGCCTTCTGTGGAGGCAATTTAATAGAGAAGGCACATTTCTACAAGACTCAGTCTTGACAGCACAAAGATCAACAAAGAGATGAGCCTACATCATGCAGACTTTATGTGGCGGATGTGAACTTGACATAAGGCTTATGTGTCATGGAGTTGCGCAGTGTTATCTGGTTTTCCTTTGCAGCTTCCATAAGAAGAAGCTTAAAGAAAAACTCCTCACTTGTAGACTCATAATCCATCAAATGTCCCTACAGTTCATGAAACAGCGGCTTTAAGGAGAATGTTCTACATATTATACCTGTATTTGACTGAATAGAAAATCTGTGGTTATGTAGAGGCTTTCACTAAATATCCACAGTGGTGTTTTAATATGGACTGCAGATGAAAACCTTTGTTGTTCATCGTCACTGAAGGCTGCAAAAACCATGTGTGTGTGTGTGTGTGTGGGTGTGTGTGTTTGTGTGTGTGTGCGCACGTTGCTCACCGTTTGATTGCGAGCGCCAGATTCTCCATCTCTGAGTTCTGCTGTCTGATCTCTTTGGTGAAGTTAATGACGACTTTCTCAAACTGAGGAATCAGTCTGGGCTCAGTCAGACTGATGTTCTGGTACAGCGTTGCCGCCTGTTCATGCCTGGAAGAAGATGAAGAAATCTGACATCAGCTGTTTTGTTTTCTGATGTGTGTACAGTCACATTTTTTCTTTTTTTGCAAGCACAATTTTAGTCCTAAATTATAGAATCACAGTTCTGCTTCATCCAAAAAAAAAGCTGACACTAACTGCTGCCAGCTGGTAAAGCAGCATTTGGTTTATTGGTTCTACCTTTATTGACAGTTAGAAGACGGACGGCACGTGAAACATTTGGGTGTAGCTGTGAAACTGGATTATTACATCCATCCATCCAATATCTATACACCGCTTAATCCTCATTAGGGTCGTGGGGGGCTGGAGTCTATCCCAGCTGACTCAGGGTGAATGAAGGGGACACCCTGGACAGGTAACCAGTCTATCACAGGGCTACACTTAGAGACAGACAACCAAGCACACTCACATTCACACCTACGGACAATTTAGAATCACCAATTGACCTCAACATGTTTTTGAACCTTGTGGGAGGAAGCTGGAGAACCCAGAGAGAACCCACGCTGCACGGGGAGAACATGCAAACTCCTCCTCAGCGAGCCACCTTGCAGCCCTGGATTCTAACAACTGTTGTGAATTAGACTTGTAACTTTAGAACTGTGAGAAAATGTACCTCATTCAATACTAAAACTCATGAACGCTCCTGGACATGGCACACTACTTTTGGTCTTGAATGATACACAGTGATTGCTTAGTATTGTGTAGATCCACAATCGAGGCATAAAATCCATAAGACCGTAGCAGCAGATCCTTAGGCAGCAAACTGCCACCTTTCTATCATAGCAACCATTAAGGTTTTCAGCAGTGCACATGCCTTCGGTTCCCATGACCGGTTCATTGGTTGTCTTTCTTTGGATCACTTTCACTGGAGACACCACACAAGACCTGCTGATGCTCTGACCCTGTTGTCTGACCATCACTATTTGGCCCTTATCAATTATATCAACTGCTTCCAGCACAGGAACTTCAAGAACTGATTGTTTACTTGCTGCCTAATATATACAACTGTAACTACTTCACATGTACCATGACAGCCAAAAAAAAAAGGTCCTTGGAGTTTAACAGTCGAATGAGAGTGGAGTACACCTTGAAATACTTTCATATTACAGACAAAATAAGAGCGTGCTTTGAGTCAGCGCCACTCCATCACTATGACAAATTGTGCAACTTTATTTCTGAGATTCACTTTGGAGACTCGCATGTCATGACAAAGAGCTGAAAGTGCTTTCTCAACAGTAAATTGTGGTTAATATAAAACATTACTAACTAATATACTGTTGGGTTTATCAGATGGTTTGTATTTCCACGGTGCTGTTATAATAAACTTGTGTTTTTGCTGTTACTTCTTCTTGTAAGCGGAAGGCAACAGGTTTTTTAAGTCACTCGAGTGGAGTCTTGCAATCAGTTAGAAATTTACGTAAACACACACAACTTTAATAAATATGCATGTGGTTCATGTTCTAATTCCCCCAAACAGGATTTGAAAGGAAAACAACTGACTGCTACTTTTTATGCATTTCACTTCGTTTGCTGTGTCGTTTGTCTTTAAAATTCTCTGACAGAAAACGCTGATCCCATCAAGATGTGTCAGTTTGAAATTAAACATCAACGTCAGCAACTTCATTACACATTTTATCCACTGTACATTACATCCTCATCATTTTAATGCAGTGCGTCACAGCAGGCAGGTAAAAATGGGTCACGTAAGTGCCCCGTGCGTGTTTGACTTCAGACAGGGTGGACTGCTTGTAATCCTCTGCATATAGACACTGCTGCATGTCGGTCAATAGCTCTCAGTGACACACGGCAAAGTTCCATACAAACTGATCATTATAGACACAAGCGTCACACCTGTGAAGATAACATATAAACAGAGATAAACAGAAGCAGTTGTTAGGAAGCAGCTGATTGAATCCAAAGCTGCTGAGAAACCCAAAACCTGAAAATAATGCACCCAAAGTAAGGATTTCCTTTTTGCCCACTGTACAAACCTGGTTTGTTTTATTTGCTACTCAAACTTCCCAGAACGTCACAAGCTGTCCACTGTGCACAAACACTGATAAACAATATGTGAGCCTTTTATTTAAAAGACCAAAACTGTTTGAAGACGCTTAACCACACTTTTGTTTATCTGGTACAAAAAGAAATAACATGAAGAGCATCTTATGAATAACTGTGCGCAGAAGAACCATCTTTTACGGCACAGCATGATCCCTTAGAACTTTATTCACTGTCTCAGTCAGATGAGAGATGAAATATTGCAAAATAAAATATCGAATAAGTAGTTCTAAATACTAATAAAACTATGAAAAGGAATCAAATTGATTTTTTTGCTCTTAGTGTTTGTTCTTGCACTGACACAAAACACTCTTTCATCCCCTAAAAAACAGACACTTTCTGGAAGTAAGCAGGGTTTGAGATTTTCTAAGCCGTCATCACTCAGCTGACTGATGTAACAGTTGCTGCAACTAGTGTAGGATAAGAGGGTGCATTTAGCAGACAGGACCGCTGTGACAATCGATGTCCTGATGCCACAGCACAGCAGCGCGAGGACGAGTCCCATGCCAGGCCTGGGGCAACACGCACACACACATACAGTACTTTTTTTTTTTTTACTGCCAAAGCACAGCCACATGCAATCTATAAAATGTATAAAGACATAAACAGATACAGATGCATGTCAGCCAATACAGGACTGGTTACCAGCAAAACGTATTTGATATTAATGTCAATTTGATTCCCACATTTAGGTGCTGATACAAAAACCAGGAACACGACGAACCAGAAATCTGCTTTCCACAAAAAACTTCTAAAATGACAAATGTTGTCTGAAAAGCTGAGCAAGAAATTTGCATAAACGTCTTTTCAGTGATTTCAAATTGCATCTTCTCTCAACATTTGTATTATTTCTGAGTTGACAAGTCAAGCAATTTGTGCCATAAACAATCAAAAACAAATACTTTAGAAAGATAACACTGAGAACCAGGTCCCAGAGTAGAAACTCAATGCAACGAAAGTGAATGACACCACAAGTTAGACGTACTGTGATCATTGAAACCAAATCCAGTACAGCTGTGATTTCCAATCAGCCTAACTGCAAGAACGGGGTTATAGAATGACCTGTAAACACCAGAACTCACTCAGCTCAGGACTGGGCTGTTTGCATCATGGTGCCACACAGAAAAAAAAACTGTCTGAAGAATTTAAAAATCTGATTATAAGTCTTCACAAAGATGGAATCAGCAGCCAGAGCACAGCTAACCAGAAATGCAATGATGGGCAGATGGTCAAGTGCTTCAGGGTTATTGATGGAAATTGGAGATCCTGTGACAGCTCAGACATTATGAAGGACATCATATCACATGAACCTCTTTAGACGGCATCCAAGAACAAAACTCTTGCTTACTCTTCAGCAATAAACTGCAAGATTAAACTTTGCTAAAATGCATGAAAAGAAGCCTGATGAATATTAGGAGCAAATTCTCTGGTCAGATGAGACCACTATAAATTTGTTCAGCTCAGATGTGGTCCAGGAGGTTTGGAGTGAACCTGGCCAGGACCACCACAGTGAATGCATCGCCCCAACAGTGAAACATGGAGTGGGATGAGTAAGTTAGAAGTGTGTGACTTTTCAAGTTAGCATCAGTGAATTAGATTTAAATGATGAACATCAGTCGACTTTGGCTCAAACGTATGTTGTTGGAGTCTTTACTGTCAAAACGCATCTCCTGTTATTGATTAACCCTCTAAAAATTCATCTCTGTTTATCGCAGTTACATATTTAGAACGCAAAGTCCTCACTGACATATTCAAAGAGAATTGAAGCGCTTGAATGGTGCTTATCCAAGAATTAGCATTTGTTCCAAACAGACAAATACGGGTTTCGTTAGCCGTTGGCGGCAACAATGTGAGAACAAACGAGGGTTATATTGTCAAAATGATTTCTCAGTTTAGAAATAAAATGTTTCCTCACTGCGCCTAACAGTCAGGAAAAGAAACCTCCTGTGCTTGTTCATAAAACCTGTTTCTCAAAGTCACCTCTCCCCTGTCAAACACTTAAAATGTTAATGAAAGAAAAACATCCCACCTGGATTCACAAAGGAAGCCGATAACTGCAGTTATGGGAGGAGAGACACGGTGACACAAAATCAACAGCTGAACATTAGTGGAGCAGAGCGTCGACAAGTACTGATATCTAATAAAACTCTTAATGACCTGACACCGGCTCCACAGCGCTGCATCATTAATTATATGTAACAGCTGTCAATGTTTCACTGTCAGGTTCCTTTTTGTTTTAGTTAAATTTAGAACTGCTTCAGGGAGTCTCTATAGCAACACATGACAAATTGAAGTTCTGCTGCCTTTGGTGAAGCTGCTGATGTACTTACATTACTTGGGAAAGTAAAGAAAAAGAGCAAAGAGCTGCAGCTGGCTGAGTGAAAACAGTACACATGTATAATATCTCTGGGAATTAATGCAATATTATCATAGATTGAATTTCATATTGTGAACTGATCTCAGTCTGAGGTTGTTGCTGGAAACAAAAAAAATTGTCATGGTACACAATTTTTTTTGCATTTTGTGTGATAACAACACAGTTCAGGGCACATTTTGGTTTGGTTTTATTTGTCATTATATTTACAGATATTACCCATCCATCATCTATACACCGCTTAATCCTCACTAGGGTCATGGGGGGGCTGGAGCCTTTTCAGGGCCAACTTACAGTGAAGGCAGGGGACACCCTGGACAGGTAACCAGTCTATCACAGGGCTACACTTAGAGACAGACAACCAAGCACACTCACATTCACACCTACGGACAATTTAGAATCACCAATTAACCTCAACATGTTTTTGGACTGTGTGGGAGGAAGCCAGAGAACCTGGAGAGAACCCACGTTGCACGGGGAGAACATACCCCCAACGGGACACGAACCGGTAACAGTGCTACCAACTGCTCCACCTTGCAGCCCCATATTTACAGAAATTGTAAAGTCATTCTTATTATCCCAGTATTGATTCCATCCAGCCTTAAAGCTCAGCTTCACTGTAACATCTTAAAGAATCTCTCATTAGTTTTCATGTGAAACAGAATCCATAAGAAATGCTTTTGAAGAACATGTCTGATTGATACAGCTAATACTGTGATTATTGGGACAAATATTAAGATTCTACAATTTCATTTGGCAGACGCTTTTATCAGAAACGACAGACGTCTGAGAGCAGATACAACACAAGCAAGGATGTAGTCAGGAGAAAACACTCTAGAGATGTGAGTCATAATTTCAACAGGAAAGGAAATAGTTGTACTTTTTTCCCCACTGAAACAAATGTAAAAATGACGATGAGATTTTTGCTGCGGTCTGAACCAAACAAGCATAATTCCTCACACCAGGAGAATCTGATTTATGGGCCGGAACATCACTGTGTCACCTTCGATTTTTTGTATGTTGTCACACATTAAGCAAAAAAAAAATTGCAGCTGCTGCAAGTTGGACATTATGCAACATTTTCATTAATTGTTCAGCCTCAGCTTCTGCAACGAAATGTCACTCAGCTGACCTGAATGTCATGAATGGCATTACACAACTCAGAGAGCTCAGCTGGTGTCAAGGGTGTAGCCCAGATTCAGTCGACTCTGCTTGGCTCCAGTCGTGATACGGATGAAAAATACAGTTGTTGAGACATACAGTTTGAAAATGATGTTTGTTTTTATGTCACCTTCCTTGACTGGCCCTAAAAAATATATATATTTTTGAAAGCATGCGGACATATTCCCACAGAAGAAAAAATGTCAAATGATTGACAGGTGTGTAAACTTTTAGCACTGTAGATGTCAGAAAAGAAGTCCAAGAAAACTGAAGAAAATTAGGAAACTGTTTTTGAAAATATGTCTTTACCAATAGTGTACTTTTTACTCAGTCTATAAACGGTGAGAAAAAATCCCAAAATGCTTTATTTTGACTAATCGTAATACGCTAGGACTTGATCATGTTTGACATGTTTGCTTGGAAATGCCTTTAAATTGCACAAATCATTTATTAAAAGAGTGTCAGATTAATTTTCTAACTGAATAGTTGTTTATTATAGTTTGAATTGTAGTCAGCAGATCTCCCTCTTCATGCATCTGCTTGTATGAGAAGCTGTGACACTTTTTCTTACAGTTTGTACAAAGACAGCAGATCCATGACTTAACATTAAATCTTATTTATCTGCCTATTTATCTCTGTTTATCTCTGTTTATCTCTGTTTCCCTCTATTTATGTCTAGTTTAGATGCATCCAGATAAAACACCTGGAACACTTGTATGAGAACTTAAACACACCTTTTACATAACAGCTCTGTCACTGTCACAAACATGGTGCATGTTGTCATATGTGTGCACCATTATTTAGCGCAGTTTAAAACGTGCCCAAGTTTTTAAAGCTTCCCTCTGTTTATTTCAGAGCTCCGTTCTGTAATATTTAATTCGTGAGTTTCCCCGTTGGGATAGTTAATGTCTCACTATCACCTTTACGCACACTGCGCTCACTGTTTGGACACATTCATATCACCTGAACATTTCCATAATGTAACTGCATCCACCCATCTGTCCGGCGGACAGGTGTGCGCTCTCACCTGGGGATGAACTTGGCCTGCTCGCCCAGCCTCCTCTCGAAGTTCTCCCAGGCGGCGGACACGTCTCCTCCGTCCGACTCCATGAAGTCTCCGTAGCGGTCGTGAAAGCCGGCGATGAACTCCTGCAGCGTCACGGTTCCGTCGTCGTCGATGTCCAGCCGGCTGAATATCCGGTCCGCCTCGGCCGCTGACACCTGCAGCTCCGCACAGATGGTGAGAAACTCGTTCCTCTCGATCCTCCCGGAGTTGTCCACGTCGTAGGCGTGAAAGAGGGCGCGGAGTCGGTCCTGCTCCTGTGCGCTCATTCCCCTGATGTGGGGATGTGGCTGCCTGCTAAAAAAAAAAGGGAGGCGTCTGCGTAAATTAGGGTGAAATCCAGCAGAACAGTCAGTGTTTTATTCCCACCGAAAAAACGAAAAGTTAGAACTCCAAACTTCCAGACTGGGTCCACTTTTATCCAAACATTCCGACAGCTGTTGCGCGTTTCCAGAAGTTTGAATGGCGTGAATCTATTTTAAACTTTCTCAGTGATCGATGAATCAAACATTGTGACACTTTTCCTCCTGTGTTCTCTTCACCGAGTTATGATCCCGTTTGTTGCAGCACATTGAAGGGACAGAAAGCTGCTGTCTGACGCAGGTAGATGACCTGCCATACCTCTGTGTGTGTGTGTGTGTGTGTGTGTGTGTGGTCACTCCTCTCGTCTTAACAATGGAGTTCTGGGCTTCAGGCCAAATGAAAGTGGCTCCACAGCGTGGAAAGCCTAACAGACTGTTATGTAATTGAATATACTTGATAACTGATAGAACCAAATATGATGAGCTGCTTTGTTGCAAGAAGAAAAGTTTATGGACCTGAGATGCTGGAAAACACACTGACCCAGTAAACACTGCAGTCTGTGTAGTTTGCATCTCAGCATTGTAATACATGAATGAATGCTTTTATACAGTTTTTAATTGTAATTTTTTTTTTTTGAGCAATTTGCTATCATCCTATAGATTTTCCCTGTTATGTTAAATTATAGCTAATAATTAGTAATATCACAGATATGCATTAATGTACACATTAACTGTAAAAAATAAAAAGAAGATAGGCTAAAACTGTGAATAACAATCTGGACTTCTATTAAAGATAATTTATTCTTTCACCATGTTTGTTCACAATAAATATGCTTATACTAAATATACTACTTTTTATTTATTTATTTTTTTTTACTATATTTAAATAAGTGAAAGGCAACTGTAAATATCCAGAAACTAATTATTTTGTATAGTTTTTTTAAAATTTTATTTTATTTTTATTTAGCTAAGTTGAATACAGTAAAACGGTGTAACTTTGTGGTCACAAAATTAACAAGTATTTGTTAAAATACTGATTTTGGATGTGGACATTATTTTAAGTTTTGTTTTTTGTCTGTTTTTAATAAACTTGTAAATTATTATCTTGCTGGATACTATATGTAACCTACCAAAACAGGAAAAATCTCTGAAACAGGTACATTTTTATTTTTTTTATATTTTTTATTTTCATTTTTTAACCACTTTTTAGTCCTTTATACACAGCTTTTTTGTACAATAATTTCTCATTATTCATTATTATTTTCATTCATTCTGAACATGATCAATCAGAAGGACAGATATGTCACACTGCTCTCTTAAACGCTTCTGTTTTCATCATGTATTTGTTGCTGCAAACTATTATTTAACCCCATAACGCAGACCCACTAAGAGGCCTGACAGGATCTTGAGAAAATGCAGTCATCAGGCAAAAAAGTGAAAGCTAGCTCAACTTTTGCTGCAAAATCTTTTCTGTCCCACCAACTTGCAAGGACCTGTGTTGACTATTTAACATTTAAGTGCACATTTCTACTGCGTGATGAAATATAAAAGCATTGTTTGTGTACTGCGTGTGAGCGCTGCAAGTCATTGTGCAAAGGTTGTAATTATTTTTGCATCTGAGGTTTAAAGGTTTACCTTTGATTATGCCAAATGGATTTTCAGGATCCTTTTTTTTTTAATTGTCTCACTAAATAAAACAACAAGCCTTTACCAATCCTGTGGGCTGTTTTCCATCTGAATCTCCACTCAGAACTAAAAACCAGACATTTCCATGTCATGTGTTCCAGGCCTGACAGCTGCATTAACGGTGAATAAAGTCTGCTTTCATCAAAAAGGAAAACTGACACATCACACTTTTTAAACAGGTTTTCAGGGAAATTCCTGTTTATCTATCATGTTTTAATTTAGGTTAGAGTCATACATAATGAAAATTAAATATTTAGTAATTTTACAGTTTCACTCATATCAAATAAAGCAAAACCCCTCCAAGATGTAGGGATCAGAATGTATATATAATATTCTGAGAGCAGCAGAGTTCACATCTTAAGCCTTGAACTAATAGTTTGCCATTCACTGCACCTAGATGTATGTTTACAGTAGCACTTGTGACTTTCCACGTCTCACCTGGATGTGACATGTCCTGATTGATCAGCGTTCATGTTTTCTTCTGCGTCATCGTCTTCTCCCTGGAGTTGTTCTTTAAAGCCGCTGATGAACTCCTCTAAGGTGACTGTGCCGTCTTTGTCGACGTCCAGGCGGTTGAATATGCGCGTTGCTTCTTGGGAGGAGACATTGAGCTCTTTGCAAATAGTAGAAAATTCATTTTTTTCAATCCGCCCTGAATGATCCACATCGTAGGAGTGAAAGAGCAAACTCAGACGGTTTTGTTCTTCCTGGCTCATGCTCTTTGTTGTTGCCATGCTCTTTATTTTTTTTTCAAAAATGTGGCTTCAGAAAAAGAGGACAAGAAGAGGTTTTAAGTTATTTAAATACGTTTACCGTTGCATTTCCTCTGAGATGGTTAGAGGGCAGCTGTAAAGTAGAAGCAAGTAGCCTAAGACATCCTGCTATTGTCGAAAGGAGCTAGACTGCAGCTGCAGGATTGGATTAATTCCCTTTGCTACCTCACTTTTATATTCTTTCTCCTCCCTTGCCTTTTGGCTTTTTCCAAATGCATCCCCTCCTGACAGTGTGGCTCCGGTGCGGGTTTGAACCTCTCCATAGCACAGAGTCGGCTCTGTTGAAGGTTCACAATGGCATCCTCTTGCTAGTTGATTCAGGTTCTCATGCCATTTAGTTATGCTTGATCACAGTGCTGCACTTGATACTGTTAACAATAATCTTTTAAATCACCTGATATGTGAAGTTGGTCTCCAGAGCACAGTGTTAAAATAATTAACTCTTACCTGAAAGACAGAGTAAAGTCGCTCAGGCAACTGTTTTTCTTCTCCTGTGGCATCCCCCAGAGCTCTATCTTAGGCCCCCTCTTTTTTTCCTGTGTATGTTGCCCCTGGGCTATATGTTTGAAAACCATAACATTAGAAATCCCCATATATCACTGCAATGCTGATGCCACACAGTTTTACCCTCTAGTTACATCTGACCACACTTGTTCCATGATGAGCTTTTTTCACGGTCTTGGCCCTCTGTCGGAAAATGTGCAAGTCAAAATTATCAGTGTCTTCCTGGACTCATCTTTCAGTTAGTAGCAGCAGCGTTGTGAAGGGCAGCTTTTGTCAGCTCAGAACCATCACCAAGCAGAAATCGATTTTTATCTCACAAGGACCTAGGAACAGTGATCCAGGCATTTAACAGCCTGTGGCCACACTGCTGTAGCTCCCTGTGTAAGGGATCAACACAGTTCAACTACACCCGACTACTGCTGGCTCAGAATGCAGCCGCCCTGCTTTTAACTGGTCAGAAGAAAAGACAGCACATCACCCCGATTGTGGCTCGTTTGCAACGACTTCCAGTTAAAAAAGTAAAAGAAGAATCCTTCCAAAAAAGCAAAAGAGGGAAAAGTAGATAAAACAACTTTTTCCTCCAAAGAATTACAAAAAAATGATCCACACTGCCATTTTATCAAATTACCATATCTGACGCTTTGCCATTCAGTGGATATGCATTCTACAAATGTCTTTAAATGTTAACAAAAGCGTTCACTAGTCCCATCCAATGTTCAGTAGAGCATGTGTAGGAAGACATAGAGCAGCATAGTTTCACTGCCAGTCCATCTTTTCTGCTTTTAAACACTAATTTTGCAGTAAAAAATAATCTGAATTGGAAAATTTGCTGTTTTCGTACAAATTACAGACAGTAAATGAGCCAAGGCAAAGATAAAAAGTTAGTGAGCTCGATGTGAACGAGAAAAACAAGAAACCTTTTCAAAGACTCCAACACAGCTGCATTATACTGACATGAAATATTCAGTGCCTCGCAGCTAATTAAACCCCAGGATGTAAATTTTAGCACATCTGAAATCCATATCTAAACATGCACACAGTCAGGAGCATACAGACTACTTTAAAGGCTTGTTTTTATTCATCTCTGTAAGAAATCGTCCCTCTGCACCTCAGCAGACCTCATGGAGTCCAATGCTGGAATGTCACAGCAGATATAAAAATAATGATTTGTTTTGATTATCTATTGTAACTCAGTTATATTAGGATCTTTGATATGTTGTGCCCTCAGATTCAACGCCGGCTCTCCACAGGGGTGTGTGCTGAGTCCTCTTCTGTACACTCTGTACACATATGACTGTGTCAGTAGCACCCACCCAGATAATGCCATCAAGTTCGCTGATGACACCACCGTAGTGGGGCTCATCTCCAGTGATGATGAAACGGCATACAGGGACGAGGTTCAGAGGCTGGTGGGGTGGTGTGAGGCCGACAACTTGGTCCTTAACACTTCTAAGACCAAAGAACTGATTGTTGACTTCAGGAGGAGTAAGTCTGACCTGCAACCTGTCTGTATCAACGGGGAGGACGTGGCCAGCTTCAAGTTCCTGAGTGCGACCTCCAATGGAGCTCCAACACCTTGACGGTATTTAAGAAGGCCCAAAGCGTCTCCACTTTTTGAGAATCCTCAAAAGGATCAACCTAAAAACGGAGCTGCTGACTGTCTTGTACTGTCGCTACACTGAAAGTGTTTTATGATGTTGCATCTCTGTGTGGTTCTGGAGCTGCACTGTGGCACACAGGAAAGCACTACAAAGTGTCATTAACACCGCCCAAAAAAAATCAATGGTCACCGTCTCCTCTCCCTGAAGGACCTCTTCAGTACCTGCTGTCTCAGGAGGGCACGCAGTATCCTGAGAGACCAGAGACAACAAGGACACCGGGTGTTTGAGCTGCTGCCCTCTGGCAGGAGATTCAAGGTGCTGAAGTCACACACTAACAGACTCGGGGACCGTTTTTATAATAAGGCAAAAGCTTTAATCAATACATACCAATATAATCTGGTCCAACAGTGGCCATGGGCATTAAAAATGTTACAATAACTATTCTCTGCACTTTACAGTCACTTTACTGCTCACTTTACTCTGCACATCATTTATTTTGATAGTTTTTGTATACATATATTGTTTATAAATGATGTAAATGATCTTTATTTTTATTCTGTTTTGATTCTTGTTTTTGACAGTTGTTTATTTGACATATCTGACATGTTAAGTGAACTGTATAAGCTCATCTCTGACAATTGCATGTCCTTTTTTTTAGCACCATTGTGGATGAGAAGCGAGTTTTGTTGTACTATCATACAATGTACAATGACAAAAAAAGACTTATCTTATTTTATCTGATCTGATCTTATCTCATATCTGTCCAGTTGTGTGCTGATGTCAGTGTCAGTGCAGAGGAGAGACTTTCACAGTTCTGTTAACTTCTCTGATCTCTCCTTCAGTGGGGACGTTGGCACAGCCGTAGAGATGCAGCACCTTCAAGCTAAAAGGACAGAAACAAGAAAGCAGCACATTAGTGTAACTATGGGCCAATGTGTTACAGTGTTGTTGTTTTTAACATCTCTATCTACAGAGCAGAGCTTCGTTTGATAGTAGGTGCTACTTCTGTATTGACAGTCCTTCCTCAAACTCTCTATTCCTGCACTGTTTCACTCCCTGAATTACACCACAAATTGCTGATCTTTTCTATTTTCCAAAAAGACACACTAAACAGTTGTATTCATTGTCGCAGCATTGGAACACTTTTTTCATGGTCAGTAAAGTGGATGGAACACTGTGCTCATCACGGGAAGGACTCATGGCCTGTTTGATGCATGTTTAGTAAATGTCACATCTTACGAAAGAGCCACGCTTCAAGTCATTTAACCTTCTCAGCATGTGTGGATGTATTTCCTTTAGTGTGTGTCAGTCACAACAGTCGCACATGTTTTAAAAGATTGTTGTGTTCTAGGCCTGAGACAGACTCAATATATGTAACAGCCAAAAGCTAAGGTGTTGGTTATCAAATCAGTCACTTACGTCAGGGATGTGTCCACCTGTATGGAATGGTTACTCAATTAGATTTATCAGAAAATGAGTAAACAGCAACTCTGATAAGGGAGCCAATCCAGTCGAATATAGCAATAAACCATCTGGACATAGCGAGGAGGAGGTTGGGGTGGTGGAGGGGCGCTGGCAGGAGGAGGTGCTGGCATAAGTGTGATCTTTAGACTAACAGTGATAAGTGTCAGGTTATAATGTCCATGCTTTACCCTTGAGTAAATATGATTGGATGCTGCACAGCTGTGAAGGAGCCAATTAAAGCATATTGTAAAAGGTTGTAAGCACAGCGCTTCATAACGCGACGCTTCACGAGAGCTCCACTCCGAACGGTCGAGAGCAGAGACTCAGATCTCTGAATGGCCTTTCAACAGTGTAATTTTAAATGTGGCATCACACAACAGCGTTAAGAGTCACTGAGACATTTTTGCACACACTCCCTCGGTGTTAAAATTGAAGCAGCAACGGTGGAGAGCTTTTGACATTTAACTGTGTGGAGAATTAACAGCAATTCAGTGTGAAAAAGCATTGAGGAGCTGATACTACACCTGAAACTGAACCTTAATGCTCTAAACCTAAAATCCTGGCTTTGAAAGGCATGTTTTTTTTTTTTAAACCATCAAAATGACGCCATTTTTACCAGAATCTGTAGGACCAGAATGGACGATTTTAATCATCTGTGACTGTTTATACTGCGTTGTGAAATTAATGCTGGTGCACACTGACTCTGTATATTCCTGGAGAAATAAAGTTTCTTTGTGCATGTGTGTGTGTGTGTTTACTTCTGGCAGCGTCTGCAAAGCTTCAGTATTTTCTCCGAGGTGATGTGGCAGAAACTGAGCTTGACGGTATGAAGGTGCCCACTGCAGTAACTTGCCAACAGAGAAACCCTGTGACACACACACACACACACACAACACAAGTGGTTTTAAAAAGTTCATGGTCACAGTAGATGGGATCCATTGAAAAGCAATGGTAGATTTTTACTAAACTGAAACACATCACACTGCTGGATTATCGAGTGTGACACATGACAAATCCACCGATCAGTTTGCTGCTTGGTGTGTGTCGTACCCTCTGTTTCCTGTTCTACTGGAGCTGAGATCCAGCTGCTGAAGTCTCCTGCAGCCCAGAGCCAAAGACTGAACGCCTGCATCTGTTACTGCCTGACAGCCACTCATGTTGAGGGATCTGACTCACACACAAACAGGTACACACACACACTATAGCTGTTGCCAAGATGTCAAGACTAACATACCTGAGAGGATGGAGAAAAAACTGTTTGTGTTTTTGTGATTTCCTGCAGTACAAAACCGTTTTAATAGAGACCTCTCAGACTGGGTTAAGACTTCTTCTCGGGGCTCAGGATAAACTGGTTACTGCATGTATTGAATGAATGAAATAATGTAATTCAGT